CCTTCCTTGCCATGTTTCCAGGTCCATATATCTTCCTTCCCTTGGTGAAGGTCCGCTGCTTCAACAATGCAACTTTTATCCATAGGTATAGATTAGACAAATCTTATTATTTATTTATTTCAACTTGCTCCTATTTTCCATTTTCTAATAGGATTTCTCTTTGCTTCTAGTATTTGGAAATACACAGATAAAGACATGACAACCTCTTAATTTGTTTTTGCAAATGATTTTTAGTTGAAAGATCACCCATCAAAAAGATGTAATAATCTTAACAAACATTTTGATAATGTAATATCATTAACCACTAATTGATTAGAACTAGCTTATTAGCTACACGTTTTCGTTTTCCTTCTTTAATTATGTTGATGTTAAATAATTTATTGAGTTCTTGACCATGCTGCCTTTCTTCTTCCATAGTAATCTCACCGACATTCTGCTCTCCAAAAAAAAAAAACAATGGCCGACGTTTTAGTCTTCGCAGCAATTTAGATGCTTTTTTGCAGATTCCTGACTGATTTTATAAAGAGTTTGGACCTTTTCCTTTTTTTTCTTTTTCTGTGCAATTGTATTTTCTCTTTGCCATAATTTGTTCTTTCACTTTAATCTTCTAAAAGAGAAAAGGAAAAAATAATAATAAAAAAGGGTAAAGCTCGAATATAGTTGGGGCATGGCTCAAATACATAGTGGACTAGTGATGAATTACATTAGATGTAATATTCCTTTGAGTCAATCTTTACTGAGCTCTTATGTCTTTTTTTTTCTTCATTTCAAACCAAACCAAATAGTTGGGTTAAATATAAAAAGAATTATTTTATTTATTGTTAATTAATTTTAAGTTGAATATAAATTTTATATTGAATCTGTAACCATAATTTTTATGTCTAATTAATTTTAAATTGAATACAAATTTTATATTGAGCTCACATATACAATTTTAGAATTTTTTTTAAAGACAAAAAATTTTTATTTATAAAAAATTAAAGAAATACCCAAACTCATATATCTTGAATCGATTATCTCCGTCCCATAAGATGGTTTGCTTAATATCTAGAAGCCGTACATAAGGGGTTGATAAGCTAATCTGAAAGTAAGCTATTCTTAGACTTTGCTTCTGCTTATTAGCCACGGGAAAGATCTTACTTGGATTAAGTCAAACATCCTGATGGCGTTAATCTCCTCATTATTAAAGATTCTACCCTATTTGGTGAGCCATACTGTCCATACTAGCGCAAACCAAACCACATACCAGCCCTGCTTCGCCCTTGAATACGGTAAGTGTGCTATGTGTTGCTCAAAGTTAAGGATTTAAGAATTATAATTATTAGATATGAGATAACAGTGTAACTTCTAATTAAAGAGTTACTCAATAGCATGCTCTTGTATATAATGTTTAATTGATATTCCGCTCCCTCTTATTACCTCTAAGGAGGAAGCCATTATTTGACATTGTTCCAAAGCAAGAATAGTGGGCTTAGTTATTGCAATGTGATATTTGTTATGGTCACATAAATAATATATGTATTTAATTTGACTAAGTTTTAAAATTTTTTTAGACAACTTGTATGATATATAAAAATATTAATTTATAAATTAATTTTATTTTATTAAATAATAATATTAATTATTCTATCAAGTAATAGTTATAACTACTAATTGATCCTAATAATTAAGCCAAATAGAAACACTGTTTATGTGGCCTTAACAAAAAAAAAAATTGTGATAATAAACATGCCCACCTTAGTATTAGGCATTTGAGTTGGATTGGATCGTTGTCTTTACTCCATGAGGAGAAACCCATGTCTGGTTTCTTTATGTGAAAGAGTGAGTAAAATAGGAATGATGGATTGGAGAGCTAAAGCCTTGGAACCTAAAAGAGGAAGGAGGAAGGCTTGCTGAATTAGGAACCACTGCCAAGATTAATCATATCCATTCCACAAACATTGACCTTTTACATGGTTAAACTAACCAACCCCCATCATTTCCCTTGTGTACTTTTCCTTTTTTCCACGCGTCTTCCTTCCCATCATTGGATCAATTAATTATTTTGGTTTCACCTAAAATCCCTTCCATTTTAGCACCTCCTTTTTGTCACCATGTAGCCCCCCACAGTAAGCGAGCTATTAAAATAGGAGATTAAAAAAATCTACCTTTGGCCTTTGGCAACCAATGACGCTAACTAAAACAATAAGACTTCAAGTTTAAAAACTTGATTTAGGATTAATTTTATTTTTTATAATTTGAAATTTCATTCAGTGATCAACTTGTATTATAAACTACCATTCACCATTTCCTCAACAAAAAAAAAAAAAAAAACTACCATTCACCATTTCCCGGAAGGGTGAGAGAGACAAAGCAAGCCATGCAATAAGGTTCAACAGAGATTATAGATAAATGAATGCCAGAAAAAGCCTCCTTTCATCTGGAAGTTTTAAGAACTCCGTGTTTCAATTTAACAAATCTACACAAATAGTAGAAGTCTTGATATCACCATAAAAACAAAGAAAATTACAAATGGTAAATGAATTCCAGGACAATGGAAACATCATGACTGTGATGATGATGACAGTAGTAATAACCACTATGGTGGAGGCAACATTTATTTTTCAGGTTAAGGAGAATGACAGATTGATGAGGGTTCATGCCAACAATATCTAAGTACAAAAGAATGGAAGAAGGGATAGCAAACCAACTGAATACAGACCCCAGAGCACATCCACACACACAAAAACCCGGATACGTGGGCATTCTGCTTAGTCGAAGAATTCCCAGTTAAACTTTGGCTGGACTGAATTATTGGTGGTTGATGTGGATGTGGAGGGGACCGGCACCAATGGGGGCAAATTATCAAATGTCTCCCATTTCGTGGTCACAACCACGGGGCCAGATGTTGAATGCCTTGATTGCTGTTGCTGTTGCTGCTGCGGCTGCTGATGTTTCTGTTGGTATTGTTGATGTATAGGCAAATGGGCAAACGAGTTGCTCGGTTGCTGCTCCTGATTTGGAGTTATTTTTTGGCCATTGAAATACCCAGGTTGCTGCTCTTGAATTGTGGATAGTTTCTGACCATTTGTATGCCTCTGCTGAACCTGCATTGGCATCTGCCCTACATTGTTGCCAGGCGTGGAGTTTTTCACCTTTAGCACATCAAGAATTTCGACATACTTTTGAACTCTTCTCACCTTTGTTCCAATTGGGAAATCATCAATAATAAGCCTCTAAATTTATCACATCCAAACATATTAAGGAATTATTAAAAGTTTACCTGCATTTTCCTTTGCAATTTGACATCTCCATCAGCCACAATCCCATCTAATTTAAGCAACTGATTCATCAACAGCTCAATCAAATTCAGCATATCTTTTTCCACAACTTTCCCACCTTTGTTAATTATGGATTCAAGAGCCGACACCTATACTCAATTCCAACCAAAATTTCAATCTTACAAGACTAACAAAAGCACATAGATCTCATAAACTACAAATTTGGAGATGAAATTCTAATTTTTTTTTTATATCTACCTGGCCGCCAAGCCTGTCAACTTCCAAGCTGATTTCAGAGATAGATTTTGAAGCTTTTTCTACCTTGGCATTCTTTCGCATCTCCAGTAACCTCTTTTCTTGACTAATTGGATCTTCAACCAGAACGATTTTCGACTTGTCCTTCACCCCTGTCATGTCTAGAAAAGCATTTGAATCCCTCTCCTTGTCTTTGTAAATCAGTTTCTGATCTTGATGGTGTAATCCTGTTGGCCCTGTTAACATCTTCTTCAATTCCCCTGCATCCAAAACAACCCAAAAAAAATTAAAATTACGGAAACATGAACATTAAAAAAAGAATGAGGTAGAATGAGGAAACTTACCAAATGTAGCTTGAGAACTGATACTGATTTCATGGTAGATTGACCCATATTTGACCCTAACTCTAACTGTCGGCGGTGGGGCAGAGGTCCGATCGGAGTCCGGGTTCCGCTTCTGAACCAACATTCCCCCAGGTCTCAACTCCCACTCGTGGGCTCCTCCTTCGGCAGCAGGGGCTCCACCACCACCACCGCCACCGCCACCGACAAAAGCTGAGCCATTATGAGTAATAGGTGACAACCCAGTCTTCATTCTCATCATCTTTTTTTTTTTTTTTAACGAAAACAGAGGATATTTTTGAAACAGGGAAACTTCAGATCTCTAGAAAGATTATTTCTTGGCGATCTGTATCAGAAATCACGAAGACCCATTTCAGACAAAGGCTGTTAGAAACTGTTTTAGAAACCTTTGACTCCAGCATTACACGAGTCCAATCCCTACATCCACGCGTATGGAAATAGAAGAAAGAGAGAGGACAAAAAGGAAACAGAGAACTGAAACTCCTCAAACCTTCTACTTTCCTTTCTCTTTCTTAGAACCACCAATGGCGTCTCCAAAAAGAAAAGAAAAAAAAA